CGCCCGCGGGCAGGGGCAGCCCAGGTGCCGCATGCCCGGGGCTGGCACCGGCATGAGCAGCGAACCCAGGCAGGGGCTTCCCAGGCACTGTGCGCCCTGGGGCCAGCACCGGCATGTGCCGTGCACCCAGGGCCAGGGCCGGCACCAGCATGCACCACGACTCCGGGGCAGGGGCCGCCCATGCGCCCGGGGCTGGCTCCTGCCGCACCCCCAGGGGTGGGGCCAGCCCAAGTAAAGGGCCTGCTGGGGGCCATGGCGCCCGCGGGCACCGGGTTGGGGACCACGGATATATATGATAAGATATGCAGTACCTCAATTTGCGTAGCTTATTTCAAGTTAAACCCTGCTGTGTAGATGCACCCTTAGGTGCCACAGGAATCTTTGTTTTTGCAGATACAGACTAACACAGCTCCCTCGCTGAGACTTTTTTGGTTATGAACACATTCAGGCTGGAAATCAGAAAAAGGTTTCTAACCAGCTGAGTGATGAGGTTCTGGAAACAGCCTCCCCACAACTGTTTACTTTACTCCCCATTACTTTAAGAGAGAAACTAAACACTTTTTAGTTTAATTTTATGATAGGGTTGCTTGTGCTGGTAGGGGACAAGACTCAGCAGCCCTGAGGCCTATTTCTGGTTTATGCTCATGCTTTAGATTTTAAGCAGGCCACCTGCAGGAGTCAGATAGGCAATCTCCTCTCCAGTGTATTCTGTTGGCTTTTTTTTTTAAATCTCCTTCCTTTGAAGTATCAGAGATGGCCACAGGTGGCAGTAGAAATTTGGATGGGGAAAGCCTGGAATCTGAGGTGGCACTGAGCCTTCTCTCAGGTGCTTAGCTGGCTGGGTCTTGCTCACAAGCTTAGGATGTATAGGATGGCCATGTGTGGGGTTAGGAAGTCATGTTCTCCTATGTCAGATTGGCAGTTTTTCTCTTCTTCTGGAGCAGGAGGTGAGTGTTGGTCATTTGCAGGATTACATGGGTGTATCTCATGTAATCATTTCCTGCCATGGGGAAGCCTTAGGTACTGGCACCCCTCCTATTCTCTGCTTGTGGCACATAATACTGTAATCGCCTAAGGCCTGAGATATATTGGTCTAATTTCATTTGTTTGGATCAGTGTGCAGGAGGCTTGACTAGATGATCTGGTGGTCCTGTCTGGCTCAACACTGTGACTAAGTGTCAGCTACATACCGCACAGCCACCGACTGCCGGGATGGGCAGGAGGTGCCCAGGGTCATCTGAACCATGTCAGCTCCAGCCAGCTTGAGAGACCTTGCAGCTGCCAATCTCAGCATCTCAGAAGAGGAGGATCTGCTGGCTCTTTCCAGCACCCTGCACCATCGCTCAAGCAGAGGGTAATCCTGAAGCTTGGATCTGTCAGAAGATGAGTGAGAGAGAGGGAATGTCAAAGTCAGGTCATTCCATTTGGCTCCATCAGCACTCTGATGAATGCCTCTGATGACAACCAGCACTCTACTGACTGCCCCGACACAGAACTCTCCCTTTTCATGGTGTTTCTCTACCAATAAGCCAGATCCATGTCACTGCACCAGGCAAGTGAAGCTTCCATGAATCATTTGATGTTGGTGCTTTTGATGATGTCCACTACAAAAATCAAATGAACTAAAGGAAAAGGTCCTGGTCAATGTTCACTCTAATTTTTTTCCATGCATGTGCAGAATAAACTTTGTTATGGGCACTGAGACATGTGTGGATGTTCACCACCAGTAGGAACATAGGCTGCTGGCTGTAGGTGCTCTGTTAATCAGTTAAAAAGCATTTGAATCATTCCTGGGTGGCTGCCCAACTGCTCAGCTTACAGGGAACTCTGCCTGAGACTCCCAAGGAGACCTTCAGCAAAGCCACAGAAGGTAAGAATGAACATTCCTCCTACTGATATGGTAAAGAAACAAAATATTGTTAGAAACCTCCATGTATACAGATTTAAAACAAAAACAAAAAAATGACACATACAGGTGCTGGTCTGGAACAATTTTTACAAGCGGGGTGCTGAGACTCATTTAGCTAAACTGTAAACCGTGTATATAATGGCAATCACTTGGAGCAGGGGTTGCAGGAGCACCCCCAGCACCTATGCTGATATGAACACAATTCTGAGTTTTTAAAAAAGGCTTTAGCAGATCACCATGAAAACAAAGGCAGCTGTTTGAAGCTGCTCAAAGGTTAGGCACTAGAAGGAGTGTGAGTTTACATGAGTAAACAGGGCAGAGTACAGGCAAGGTAGTACGAAAGAAAAGGCAGGGAAAGATGGTCTAGTGGACAGGGCATGGGCCTGGTACCAAGGTTCAGTTCCCAGGCTAGCTGTACACTTCCTGGGTGTCCTTGTGCCTCAGTTCACGGGGTTCGCACTAGCCGGCTTTTAAAAATGGCGGCGCCGGCTTTATGCTAATGAAGCCCGGGAAATTCAAATCCCGGGCTTCATTAGCAAGTTCGGTATGCATACACTACCCCCCTAGTTCGAACTAGCGGGGTAGTGTAGACATACCCTCTCTCTCTCTTGCAGCAATTACATCCTATTGCTCTTCACCCATTCACGCACAGGAAGTGGGAGCCTTGAGGCAGGGACCCTACTGCTGGGACAAAAAGCTTACTGTAGCTGACAGTATTTTAGGGCGATACCTGCCCCTGGGATCCTTGGACACTACACTGTGCTGTATTCTGCCTATTGAACAATTATCTACTGCACACCTTCATAACATACACCCCTATGTCAGCCAGCACTATGCTACAGCTTGTGGCTGCAGGCATATCATAACAACGGGGGGGGATGGTGCTGTTTCCAGCCAATAAGAACTGAGAAATTTCACTAGGGGTAGTGTAGGAAACCTGCCTCCCATATCCAGAACGGGTCACATAGAGCAGCCAGCAGTAGGATTGCCAGGTGTCCAGTTCTGAACCGGACAGTCTGGTATTTGAGCTTTCTGTCTGGGAAACAAATTGAGAAAATACCAGACATATAAATGTTAGTTTTACTATTATGAGTATCAGTCTGTAATTGCGTACTGCCTTGCTGGTAGACATGCTCTCCCTGCATCCATGCGCCCGGATCAGCCCCGCTCCCCTCCAGCGTGTCTAAAAGCCAGGCAGTGTGCAACTACACAGTAGACGTGGGACGGGGCCGAGGTGGTATGGAATCCCCGGAGCTGGACTCGCTCGTGCTCCACTGGGACTGTGCGTGGGGCAGGCAGCGCCCTGGGATCTGCATGCGCCCAGGTCAGCCCCGCTCCCCACCAGCTCGTTCCCCCTCTGCTCTTCCTGCCAGCCAGTTCCCTCCTCCATCTCTCCTGGTCAGCCACGCTCTCACTGGCTGGGTCCATCCAACAGCCCTGCTTCCTGCTGGCCAGTTCTCTCCCTCCCCACCACAACCTCCTTCTGGCCAGGCCAGCCCCACTCCCCTCCTGGCCTGCTCCCCACCGCCCGCATCTGAGATCAAGTGTGTCTGGCATTTTTTTGAAGCCATCTGGTAACCCTAGCCAGCGGCCTCGGACTGCAGCCGACAGTTTGCTTTAGGCTTCTGCAGGACTGTTGGCTAGGAGCCCACC